TTTGACCAGTGAAAGAAAACTCGGAAAATATCATTTACACTACATTTAACAATACGAACAACTGTATAAATTGATTATTGTTTTCTGAATAGCGTTTAACTATTTCATGTTTCGAAAAAACAAGAAGAGAAAAACTATAGCTTCCATCATCAAGCACTATTATATGACCGAGTGAACCGAAATTGTGCTGCTCCTTAAACTTCTGAACGACCACTGAACCGATACAGGTTACATTCGTTGTGATTGATAAAATCCTTTCTACGGTCATTCGCACTGTACCTCTGCTCTAGCATATACAGATGTCATCAGTTCCTTGTGAAAGTGAAGGCAATTACTAGTAGTACAGTAACTGGTAAATTGTTTGTCAGCCTGCCCACGCTGAACTGTGCTCAGGTAAATTCAATGTGGCTTAATTACTGCTGTGATTAGGTGTTAAATCCATCCATACCATTCCAGGAATGTCGGTTGACAATTTCGCTTTAATTTTTGAAATGAGTTCAGTATAAGAGAAATTAGAGAGATGTACTAGTATTTCTTTATAATAAAAAAACTGCACAGTTGGTTTCATTACACAAGGGTGTCTCTAATATAATCTATAGCGTATTTAGTGTAATTTTAGTGTATAGACTTATACACCAAGACAAAAATATTATTATTGATAATAAATAATAAATCTGACCAAATTCAATAATAATAATAATAATAATAATAATAAAATAAAAAATAAATGATAAAAAAATAAACAGCGTTTCTTTCATTATTTAAGTTTTTATATTCAAAGAGAAATATTAAGAATCACTGAAGGCGGGGAAGAATATTTGATAATGTTTTCAATTATCCTAAAAGCTTTTTTTTTCAGTTAAAAAAGACCGTAAATAATCACTTCATTTGCTTGATTTACTTTTTTATTTTTTAACTATAACATGAGATGTCTATCACAAAAGCTTGAAGACAATCAGCTATGAATTATAAAAAGGTTATTCTGTTACAAGATTATAAAAATCTTACTTTAAAAAAATAGTTAAAATCATTTACGTCATGGAAAGAAATGGTTCAATATATATACCAATTAAGATGTTTACTGATATTTAAACAATTTTAAGGTTACTGGTGATTTTTAAAGTTTATTTTCCGGAGAATTACCTAAAAACAATTAAAGCATTATGTATCAAAAGACTTCGCCTACTTCGCCTACATTGTGTCAATCCTTTTTTTTCTTTTGTGAAAACGACCTAATGTGTTGTTTTCTATTGAATAATCAGATAAACCGTATGTCAAAAAAATTATGTTAACCATATTTGTCATGTTCCACAATTTGCTAGCACTGCAATAGTCATGCTACAATCTTGTCATTATATTGGTCTGATTGAAAATGTTACGGCATTGAGGAATATGCTCCAAGAATATTTTTTTCCTGTAAAATGGTTTCACCTTGCACTAATTCATAAATTGATTTACCTGCCTTAAACTCTCATCTATAGTCTTACCCATTATCACGATTAAAAATACGCATTTCTTTCAAATGATATTTTCTAAACTAAATAAGGTATTTAAATTTGTCCAAATAGTGAAAACGATCAAACCATGACGTTATACTGCAGAATATACGTTATATAAAAATTGAAGATTACGAAGAATTATCGAAGTACTTTTATGCCAATAGTTTGTTCGTTTGCGTTTTTTTGTGTGTTAACAAAATTTATCACACACCCGTGCCGATTTTGCGACTCCGAAAATATGGTATTGCACGGCCGTGCATATATTTTGACGTGACGTCATTTGCCATACAAACATAGCGTAACGACGCGCTAAAAAATGTGAGCATTATACTATAGGCGCGTCAATAAAAAATGACGCTTTTTTCACTTTAAACAGTCTTTATTTCTGGTATGTGATAAATAGAATATTAAATTCGTGTAAGTTCATTACTGAATTTATTGAACTCGTTGAATAAAATAATATTATGCTCGCCAGAGGCTCGCATAATATAAATTTATTCAACTCGTTCAATAAATTCAGTATTGAACTTACACTCATTCAATATCCTCTATTTATGATTTTCTAGTGGGGACATGTAACGTAGTGGTTAACGCGTAACTATAGTAATCTAAGGTTGGCTCAAACTCCGTCTGGGGTAAGCCGTTATTTCTTTGAGCAAGAAACTTTACATTTATTGCTTAGTCTTGGTTGGTTCCAGGAACAGACTGGATAGGGCGTTTACTATTTCCTACACAAACGAACTAAAATAAATTATATATATAAACTAAATAATTTCTATCACCAAAGCTGGTACTCTCGTATAAAATCTATTCATAAGACGATCGAGAAATATTCTGTTAGATTTTTTTGAAGTCGTAGATATAAACGTTTTATTTAATGTGTTTACACAAGCAGAAGAAATAGTTAAGAAGTTATAGTTATATATCTATTTGGTTTTCATTTAAAAACTAGGGTAGAAACAGGACTTAATAAACACGAAATGTCGGCAAGATAACGCACTAGACTATTATAAGTACATTTGTACTTGAACAAGTATTAAAAAAACTCTACTTAATAGGGTAACAAGTCCATTATCAAATGGAAAAACGACAGGTCTATTAAAGTCTATTGAAGTAAAACATTAGCTATGCAAAAATTGACATTATTTTCATTGATAATAATGTCTTAACAAAAAGGTATTAGAACTTAAACAATGGGGTGGTACAAAAACTAGTCTAAAATTCAAAAATAAGGAACAATTTTGATTCCAGCAGTATGATGTGTAACTTATGTAAATTGTGTGTGTTAGGCAATACCACAATTTAAACGTGATTTTGACTCCTGTTTGTTTTACTTAAAGGTACACCGGACCGGTACCATTAGTCCTAAGGCGATATTTCAGCTATACTGGTGGAGGAACATCTCGGGTGCCAACATATAGTACATTATTTCAGACACAAGCGGACACCTTAGTAGAACCATCGACCATCTGTAAGCTACTTTGATAGTTCCCTCACATTGAAGAATCACTTACAAGATTCGAACCAAAAGCAGCTAGAGGAAAGTTATTTGAAACTTTTTACCTTAATCACTTGGTCACGAAGGTCCGCTAATTTTGTTTAACGAGGTTGTGTGCAGCAAGTTATTACAAAATCCTACCAAATAATATATGCAAACATTTTATGAATCATGTAGGCCTCATGAATGAGAGCCAAGTATATAAGACCTTCAAATGTGTATATGAAAAGCATTTTTTAAGTTTAATATAAAAATCTCAACCAAGGCAACTTGAGTTGTTGAGTTATTGGTCAGAAACCGTCTTTAATTACAAGGTCAATATGACACTGACCCCCTGACCCCAAAATTTAATAGGGGTCATCTACTGGCCAAGACCAATGCACCAACAAAGTTTGAGGGCCAGCAGCTATGGGCTTGTCAAGTTATTGATCGGAAACCGTTTTCACCTACAAGGTTAATATGACCTTTGACCCCTTGACCCAAATATCAATAGGGGTCATCTAATTGTAAAGTCAAATGCACATGTTAAGTTTTGATCGTCAACCGTTTTTACCAACACAATAAATATGACCTTGACCTTTGACCCCAAAATCAATAAGGGTCATCTACTGGTCATGACCAATCTTCATACCAAGTTGGAAGTTCCTAGGCCTAAGCATTCTTAAGGTATTGATCAGAAACCGTTTTTACCTACAAGGTCAATGTCACCTTGACCCTTTGACCCAAAATCAATAGGAGTCATCTGCTGGTCATGAAACCTCATCATACCAAGTTTGGAGTTCTTAGGTCTAAGCGTTCTTGATTGTAAACCGCTACAAGGTCAATGTGACCTTGACCTTTGACCCAAAAATCAATAGGGGTCATGTACTGGTCATGGCCAATCATCATACCAAGTTTGAAGTTCCTAGGCCTAAGTGTTCTTTAGTTATTGATCGAAAACCGTTTTTACTTACAAGGTCAATGTGACCTTGACCTTTGACCCCAAAATCAATAGGGGTCATCTACTGGTCATGACCAATCATCATACCAAGTTTGAAGTTCCTAGGCCTAAGCGTTCTTTAGTTATTGATCGAAAACCTGTTTTTACTTACAAGGTCAATGTGACCTTGACCTTTGCCCTCTTCGACCCCAAATCAATAGGGGTCATCTACTGGTCATGACCAATCATCATATTAAGTTTGAAGTTCCTAGGCCTAAGCGTTGTTTAGTTATTGATCGACAACCGTTTTTACTTACAAGGTCAATGTGACCTTGACCTTTGACCCCAAAATCAATAGGGGTCATCAGCTGGTCATGACCATTAATCATAATAAGTTTAGTTTATACAAATTTATTTAAGTTCGATTGTGTTGGAAGCTATAAGCTTATTGAAACACTCTTGAATCCATTCATGGAACCAACCAGTACTTAGCAATGAATGTAAAGTTTCTTGCTCAAGGAAACAACGGCTTGCCCCTGGCAGGGTTTGAACCCATGCGGTCAGCAATCCTTAGATTACTAGTCTGACGCGTTAACCACTCGGCCTCGCCTCCACACATAATAAGTTTGAAGTTCCTAGGCCTAAGCGTTCTTTAGTTATTGATCAGAAACCGTTTTTACTTACAAGGTCAATGTGACCTTGAGCTTTGACCCCAAAATCGATAGGGGTCATCAGATGGTCATGACCAATCATCATACCAAGTTTGAAGTTCTTAGGTCTAAGTGTTCTTTAGTTATCACTCAGAAACCATTTGGTCTACGGACTGACCAACAGACACACAAATGCAAAGCAATATGCCCCCTCTTCTTTGAAGTGGGGGGCATAAAAATGAGAAATAGCAATGACTGAATTTATGATTTGTTTCATTATATTTCATAAAATTTCATGGTATAATCACTATACATACTGAAAGACATGATTTGTAATAGATATACCATTGCTGTGTTGACGATTTCTGGGTTTGCGTAAATTATACCATAATCACGTGACCTTTCTTATGCCTTAACCTCACGAGACGAAGTCAAGTGAGGTTGCATAAGAAAGGTCACGTGATTATGGTATAATTTACGCAAACCCAGAAATCGTCAACGCACCAATGGTGTATCTGTTTTAACCTATAGCTCCGCCCAGAAACACTTACTCCTTCGATCTTCAAAACTGAAAATTATACCATAGTCTGGGTATGGTATAATTTACGGTTATTGGAAATTATACTTGGAAGAATTTTACATAAGAAGCGCTGAAGAGCTATAGGTTAAATTAATTTAATACATGGTTATTCATATTCATTTTAAACAAAGTCTGCATCATTAATTGTAATCACTTTATCTTTTAATCTATGTTGATAGTAATTTAAATAAAATAGCATGATAAATAATGGTAAAATCATTATAATTCCAATGTAAATAAACTTGGGTATAGGAGCAGTTTCCCCAAATGGATAAAACCACAAGCCACGCCTATGTCCATCTCTGACATGGTGTGAAATCCATGCAGTTGTAAATATCAATAAACCTAAAAATAGACTTTGAGATTTCAAAATGGCTGCCATGATCCCCATGGTGATGTCTATGATGACAATGAGTGTAGTTGCATGGAATGGTGGTCTTGTTGGTAGTGACAGAGCAGACTGAAAAATAAAATAAAACATACTACATTTAATTTTTACAGAGCTACATCTTTCTTATAAAAATAAATAAAACCCTTTGATCATATTTAATTATTTCAAGACTTGTACCAAAAGTGGTTAGCTTTTGTCACCAGTATGGAGTCAAGCCTGTACATCCATGCTGTTGACATTTGTTTGTATATTTATATTGAAATCCCTTAAACCATTCAAAACTGTTCCAAATTCAAAACAGAGAATGGCCTTTGTACATATTTGGTTGGTAATGGGATATTAAATAAGAGGGTCATGATGGCCCTGGTTCATGCCAGAGAAGGGTAAAGCCAGTGCTGTGGCATGACCTATTTTGGCATCAGACTTGAACCACTTTTACAACTTTAGTAGAGAACCATCTCAGGATCATTCAAACGGTTAAGGAGGAGTTGTGTGGATGACAACAAACAAAGGATACACTGCCTTCTGAGCACTTTGTACTCAGGTGAGCTAAAAATAATGAAGTAGTAAGGTGGGAACACTAAAAGTTATTTAACAGTACAGTAAAAAGTTTAGTCTCAATTTGATAAAGCATATTGCATGGTTATAAAACAAACTTATTAAAATCAAATGTGGTGAAATTGCTACAGATCTTGTAGAAATTGTTAAAGATGGGCTCACCTTTAAACTAAAAGATTTTGCTGCTATAAAATGGTCCACATCAACAAGCATTGCCAACATCATACATAGAAGACATTCTACACACTCTTGTTTTCTAAACTGAAAATATATCATACCCATTAAATTGATATTATAATTTAAGTACCTAAGTATGTTCATTAAAGTCATCTGCCATTTAGATATTTGTGTCAGTGTGTGACCTTTGTTTGATATTGCATAAAGCAACGTTTATCTAGATCCTGTAACACAATTTTTTTATGATTTTTTTATATCATAAATATGATGCTTTAATGAAGATTTATCAATATTGTAAGTTCCAAAATGCATTATTTGTAAAGATATTACCGAATTTATATTTTGTGTAAATAAAGGGAGAAAATTAAAAAACTATTTTCTATAAAGTCTTAGCCAAATTGTTCAATAATAAATGAATTCATATACAATGTACTTTTAATGATTACATATAATGCGTTTAATCATTTGCAGTACATATTTAACATATTCTTGGATGTTTGGAAAATGTTTTAGAAGCATAATTATACATGTATATTAGAACCAGGAGAAGCTTCTGGAATTGGGGCATCTTTCTGTATCTGTAATTGCACTATCCTCCAAAAAATAAAATGACTAATACTCTTCTGGAGGACTCGCCCAACCGGTGGCGAGTATAAATAAACGCAAATACACACACAATTAATTACAACATACAGGATCTTTAAATAGATTTAAGTATCAAGCTCCACAGTGTCTCTTTTCATTACAATGGTCCAGTGAAATCAAAGTGGAGCAGTATAATGCTAAGATCCGGTGCAAAAACTACAAAAACCATCGTCAATTACATACTATAATAATATTATATTGTAATATCTTAGCAGCAAGATATTATATGTGAAGAAAATATACACTTGTCCATTAAATAAAATTCCATTATTTCATATTGTTTGTACTTCAAACATTCATGGATCCACCATCACATGTACCTGTATCTACAACCTAAGTCAATTGAAACAAAATATGAGGCGCGTCACGACAAAACCAACATTATGGGTTTGCGACCAGCATGGATCCAGACCAGCCTGCGCGTCCGCGCAGTCTGATCAGGATCCATGCTATTCGCTATCAGTTTCTCTACTTGTTATAGGGTGTGTAAGCGAACAGCATGGATCCTGATCAGACTGCGCAGATGTGCAGGCTGGTCTGGATCCATGCTGGTCGCAAACCCATTATGTTGGTTTTGTCGTGACGCGGCACATATCTCAATATCTCTCACCTTGAAATCACAAATGATTGCCCATGATATTCCACCAACAATTCCATGGGTCAAACTGTCTGTTATGGCAACCACAATTTGTTGCTTGGCAACAGGATGCTCAAGAAGTCTGTCACCTAAGTAACAGGTACACCCAAGTAATATTTCCAATACAACTGTACTAACATATGTTGGCATTTTTGATCCTGCAAAAAGAGGAAGACAATATGACAGCACCTCAACTAATTAAAATTATTAAAGAATAGATTGATATATCTCTTTGAGGTTCTTAATTGGTGCTATGTAAGTGCACTTCTGTACCTAAGTTAGACTTAGGGTCTCAACCCGGTACGGAATTAGACCCAGCCCGTTGTAGGCTAGAAAATAGTTCTTTGAAATTTTGAAGTGCCCTATTTCAAGTCATTTTTAATGTGACTGGTTACATTTTAAGTGTATTTATTGTAACAGTGTACATTTAGTGTCATTTCTGATGACTTTAAAAGTTGTTTTTTGTGTATTCTGCAGGATCTCATTTCTTGGTGGAAGGATTCGAGAAGTACTACACGCCAGCATACATGACATTTGAAACTTTGATAATTTGACAGTGACTTAACAAATTAAGAAATATTGTGAAATCTAGATAGCTAACATAGGACATTTCGGGCTTCGACTAACTTGTCTAGTGTTGATGTTTAAAGTTATGAAATACAGAATTCTGCTGAGTTTAATAGAAGTCCATAATGAAGCTTTAAATGTGACAGATTTACTATAGATTAAAGAAGGGCGAAAATGGACAAGGCCGTGTCCTAAATAAGAAATATGAACAATGGGAACTGGTTGATGGATATGGATGAAACTTTGCATTAGTGTTGTGTTTATGAATAGAAATCAGGAAAATAAAGGATAACTGACAGGTTTGAAAAATTTAAATTTTATTTCAAATTTTAAATTTTGACATTTTAAATTGGGACAGATGTTGTTATTGTTGTCTCCCCTTCAAATGTAGATGTCTGCTACTGTGTCTGAATAAGTGCAGAAGAAGGGTGCAGAGCTTTTGCATGAAGGATTAACCACATTTTATTGAATTTTAACTGTAAAAATGAATTTAAAATTAAAAAATGAAATTTAAAATTTTTTTAAGCAGTTAATAAATTGGTAAATTTTATTTTTGCACCCTGTGTTTAGCAATTTACTAGCTCTATTATGAGCTTATTTTTATAAGATTTATATGGAAAATGATATTTTTTAGAGAAATGCATCTTAAATTATGGATAAACCATGCATAGCAAGGAATTGGGGAGTGCATGTTTCAGGCTGGTTACATTGGCAAAAAGGTGATTGGCAAGCTCATTCCAGAGGTCTTAGGGGCCCAAGAAGCACCGGCCATGGGATTCGAACAAGCACCATAGTAGCCTATTGCTCATATGGACCACACATTATATGCACTGATGTTTCAGCAAAGAGTTGATGCTGCAGTAATCAGATTGTAAATATTCACTAGTGTCTTGTATTTCAATGAAGCAGAACTGACAATTGAACATGACACATGTGATTTACATGTTGGAAATATAGGCATTTTCAGTGTAGTGAATCTTGATGTTTTGCTGTGTTGCAGAATGTATATAATTGCTAATTTATACACACACAAAAAATGGTCTAGTCATTAAATAGTGTAGTTTATGGATAATTGGCTCATTTAGAATTATAAAACAGTTGATGTGATTGTTCTTGTTGTTGTAGCAGCTGCTACAGCAGTTAAAATAGGTTAGCTTTATAATGTCGTAACTGCTATTTCCATGCAGGCATGCATTTTAAGCACACAATATTTAAGCCCCTCCTGTGTGAATAATCAAATCAGCCATTGATTAATTAAGAAATGTTTTTCTTCCTTTTTTTTGATATCAAAATTACAGCACAAATGCCTCTTATAATTTCCTTTCGACATGTTTTAGTGTTGCATATTTTTTTTCAGACCATGCAGTTACTAAAGCCGGGGTGACCTTACCTTATATACTGGTTAAGATCTGTGGAAGAACTCCTTCAGCTCAGTTTGGCAGCAGATTTGTCAGGACAAGATGAAAGAAGGTAAAAAATTATGCCCAGTTTAAAATTTCGGGCCTATTGCCCGGCAAAAAAATTTTCCCCCAATTTGCTCCGGGAAATTTTGGTTTTTAGCAAATTTTTGGGGTTAAGTTTTTAATTAAATGAGAAAATTCTTTTAAAATTTTTTGACTTTTTAAAAGATTTTTTCAAATGTTTAAAAAGGGGAAAAGGAAAAGTATTGAAAATCTTTTTTTACCCTTTATTTGGGTGAGATTTGGGGTTAAAATCTTAACTTTGTCAGAAAAATTTCCAATTTGGGGAATAGGGTTTTGGTAACCCCCTTTGGGCTAAACTTAAAAAATTACCTCTGTTTTTGTTTTATTTTTTTGTATTTTTAAGCAAAAAAAAATTTTCTAGGGTAAAAATATTTTGGTAATTACTTTTTTCCCAAATGCTTAAAAGGTAAAAATCATAAATCAGTAAGGGTTTTTTATTGGCAAAATTGAAAAGAAAAAAGTTTATGAAAAAAAGCACATTTAATTGTGATTACTTGTACTTTTTATAACCCAAAATTACCCCTTCATTAAAATAAATGGAGTTATTGGATTAACAATTTGTAAGGCAACTAAAGGGCTTAAATTCTTTCATAAAAATAACTTAAATAATTAGGCCGGTAACAGTTTTTTAACTTTATTTGAAGAAAATCCACAGTGTTCGAATTAAAGCAGTAGTCCTAATAGGCCCCACATGACTACCTAAATTTCACCTCGGGCTACCAAAACTTTTACACAGTAAAAGCCCGACCAGGCTACTGTATTTTCAGAGGGAATAAAAAAACTGGTTTTGAAACAAATGAATTGTGTGGAAGTGAATTATCTTTGGGCTAGTGAATATTTCAATCTGGTAGTCCTACCATCAGTGGAAATCCTAAATACAAAATCAAAAGATATGACAGAATTTGTGATATAAATTTTTTGCGTAAAATTCTATTGGCCGAGGCTGATTTTTCGCATGAAGTTTCATATGTAAGAAATTGTACTGCATTAATGTTATTTGTTACAGACATGTCAAACCTATATAATTGTACTTGTATAACAATAAATTACTAGGAAATGAGTATAAATTTTGACTTAACTTAAATTTTGGATTCATTTAGGTCTCAACCCGGTACGGAATTAGACCCAGCCCGTTGTAGGCTAGAAAATAGTTCTTTGAAATTTTGAAGTGCCCTATTTCAAGTCATTTTTAATGTGACTGGTTACATTTTAAGTGTATTTATTGTAACAGTGTACATTTAGTGTCATTTCTGATGACTTTAAAAGTTGTTTTTTGTGTATTCTGCAGGATCTCATTTCTTGGTGGAAGGATTCGAGAAGTACTACACGCCAGCATACATGACATTTGAAACTTTGATAATTTGACAGTGACTTAACAAATTAAGAAATATTGGGTGAAATCTAAGTTGGCTAACATAGACATGGACTAACTTGTCTAGTGTTGATGTTTAAGTTAGGAAATACATTCTCTGAGTTTAATAGAAGTCCATAATCTTTAAATGTGACAGATTTACTTGATTAAAGAAAGGGCGAAAATGGACAAGGCCGTGTCCTTAGAAGGTCAAAAGTGCCTTATTAGCAACATTAAATTTTTGACTTGTGATAGACACAACAAATTTAAACCACTAAAAATACATTTGTTCTATTAAAATTTTATCTCTTAGCATAAAATAAAACCATTCTAAGCAAAATCAATGCCCTATGAGCCTATATATAAGGTCCTTTGTAGATCCTTAGCAGACAAGCAGCTCTGGTTTTTCATTTTTTTATTAAGACACAAAATATCTCTCATTGTCCTAGAAACATCAAAAACCCTCTTGTGTCATAAGTCGTCAGAAAGTATAATCACATTGAGTATTCATATCAAACTAAGATAACTCACACCTATTGTTCTTGTTATTATTGTATAAAAGCACCGTTGTTCCTGAAATATATTTTGACAACTGTTTCTGTGCAAATGGCGTTTTTGAATAAAAGGGAAGTAACTATGTTGGATTATGACTCCTACTAAACACCGCAAAGTCAAGTAGTTATTTTATCATTATTTAAAACGATTTTAAAATTAGCAAAAAAAAAAATTGGGGGTTTTTTTTTGGGAAAATTTTAATTTTTTTAAAAAATGTTTTTTGAAAAAAAAGAAAAAAAGTGAAAAAAAAAAAAACTATTATAACTTTTTCGAGAAATGACCGTTAGATAATGAATACAACATTTAATAAGTTTATGTTTAAAAAAATGATATTTTTCATTAGTATAGTTTGATAACCTTTTAACAGCACGTGGGCCGTTCATTACCCTGATTGAAAAGCGCTGGGAGTGAAAGTAATTTTGTCATAAACAAAAAGCAACATAATAAAGAAAGTGGTATTTAGGGACTGACTTTGCCAATTTTTTAAAAGAATCCTGTTAAATGTTGTGATCAAAGTGGTTTACCACACTAAGTGAAATTTATATATGGTACATAATTATGCAAATAAAAAATTTTTCATCATCGAAGAATATGTAAAATGTGTATTAAATATTTGTGCATAAATTATGTGTAATATTATAATTAAAATATATGCATTCATTTCTTATTGTTAAATTTGACTTAAGGTATAGGGGGGGGTGCTGGTATTAAAGCACCCTAATGCATTAAACCTCGCTTTTGAAGAGTATTCAAATAGGCTAGAACTACTGTTTTAACTAAATTGAAAATGAGGGCCATGGGTTCAATCCCCAGAAGGGTCAAACTTTTTTTTTTCTTTCTTTTTTTCTTTTAACATTATTTATGTATCTCTCATTTCCATTTGGAAAAAAAAAGTGTTTAATTTTGATTTTTTAATTTATATAGGTATTTATTGGGCTAAATTATGCTAAATATAGTAATAAATATGGTACCTGATATTTTCAAAGTGTAATATAATAAAACTAGACGGTAAAAGTATTTTATATTTTACAAGATCAACCAATATACTTTTTTAAAAATTTAAGGAAACTTTGAAAACAGGCACTCATTTGGTAAATTTTAAGATTTTTTTTTAAATTAGGCTCCTAATGTAGAAAAATGATCAGACACGTGGTAAAAATGGGTGGGGTAGAGTAACATTTTTATACAGATTTTCATAAATTTTAAAGTAGAAAACATAATTTTGCTTATTTGGATTGTTACTGAATGGGTACTATATTTGTTTCTTTACCAAAAAATTTAATGGGAAAACAGTTTTCATTTAGAATGTTTAAATTGCAGATTACAGGTTGTCTTTAAGGTATACATCTGGACTTATGATGTCCATTTTTTTAGTTCCTGATAGGGGGCCCATTAGGGTCCCTAATATCTTTAAACTTAAATAGAAAAAAAAATTTTTATTTTACCCCCTTTATTTACATGAAAAATGGTTAAATTCTGTAATATCTTTTAAATAATGCTTTGGAACCTACAAAATTGAAAAATCTTTAATTTTGAGCACATATGGTTTTAATGATTCCAAAACCATAAAATTTTTTGTTACAGGATCTTTTAAGCATAAAATTTAATCTCATGAAAACATACAGTTTGAGTCCAAACTAAAACTTCGCCGCCCCCCCCTGTGTTGTAAATAATAATATCAAAAAACACTATCCTTATGATATTACATGTACCTATATAACAACTGCTGTAATGCTGGCCCACTGGTTAAGAGAGATGACGAAAAAGGGGATTGATATAGCAAAAAAAAGCCCTGCTTAACACTTTTAAATTTAGGCACAAGTAAGCCATGAAATGTAATTAGTTTGTTTGTTTTTCTTCATTTTATTTGATTAATTTTGATATATGCAATAGAAAAATTATTTAAAGAAAATAAAACATGAATGAAAAAGAACAGTTAGATGGTACATATGTAATTCAAGTCAATTGAAAGTATATCAAACAACTTACTGTTTACGACTTGAGCCTTTTGAGGTAAAGTAAAGAATTTGGCAGATTTGCCGAAGACTGTGCTGAATATATTATTCCAAATGATAAAAACTTGATATTAAAATGTTTATATGTTATATAATATAAAAATATAAATATAAGCAAAGTTTACATATTAGACGTAAATTATACTAATTATATTTCCAAAGATAAAGGTGACAAAAACAGAAATTTTATTTTTAAACTGTAATTGCCTTAAAAAATCAAAAGAATAATACATGTATACTGTATTTGCTAAATTAAAAATCATATTAAAATTAATTATAAATTTTAAAAAAAAAAACTGACTTTGCTAGGCATTGCTTGACTTTTGCTAGACATTGCTTGACTTTGCATGACTTAGTAGACCACAGGAACTTGAAATTCTATCAATATTACGATAATATGCAAAATACACCCCCTATATACTTAAAAAAAACACGGAAATTGTAGATCAACATGAAACACTTATAGTTACTACAAGACAGGTAAAACTGAACTAAAGCCGTGACGACACTGTTTTACACTGGTGTCACAAACTTAAGCTATCAAAATTTCTTCAAGGGCAATAAATTTTTATGAATATGGTTATAAACAGGAGTACAGGTAAAGGAGTTGAAAAAAAATTACATGTATCTTTAAAAAAGCTAAATATACTTCTGCAGAAATAAAAATTGTAGGCAGAAATGCTGCGATGGTTAAACCATTGATGCCCTTATATTCTTTGTCTATAAATTGAAAGAGTGCATACATCATGTTGCTTGTCGTAACCGATAAATGAATTGTGTCCAATCGGTGCACTCAAACACTTTTAAACAATGAAAAACTCATGGTCTTTTAACTAATGCTCGATTTCTTCATTCTATTAATCAACAGTACGAATGTCTGCTAGTCTTTATTGTTAACTATTGTTAAGAAGCAAGTATGTATAGATTATGTTCGCTCAAATATCCTGATGTTATTAAAATGAGATGTTGTTCGATAATTATTAAACGCTTTCCACTTTACAATTTTAATTCTTAGAATACCTGTTTTAAAAATATTAATTTCCTGCCTTGTTGTCTAAACTTATTATTTTCAAATGCCCAGCTTGATAAATGATTTAACTAGGATATACTGCTGCGATCAAAAAAATATATGATTTTAATTAAAGTTATTTGTTATTATGATTTTACTAATATATAAGTAGTCGTCCTTAGAATTTACTTTAATGGCAAAAATAAAAATCTTAAAACTACAACTTTATTAATCTATACACAAAGCAAGATTCTTTAATCGTTGATCGATCCATATTTATCTCATTAAAGTTGATAGAAAGGCTTGTTGTATACAAAAAATTCATTACCTAAATTATTTGAGACTCTAGTTTTTTCAATATTCAGAGGCTAAACCAGGGACTTTCAAATAGAAAAGATGTCAATCTTAAAGAGCCTGAGGCAACATACCAATCAATTTATCCAGGTACTTTAAAGTAGAACTGTAGTGTTGTTAGTATTAAGATAGCTCCGCCTACTTGATTAAATAGCCACCCTGTTTAAATAGCCAGCCCCCTTTCTCTTTTACAGACACAAACATTTAAAAATGAAAAAACAAGACTCTGTTTAAACCTGTAAATAAATAAAGTATCTTTTTATATTAGGTTTCTTTTCAGACGTAAGAATATTTGAAATACCCTAGCTGATTTATAATTATCATGGGGGTGCATCTTTTTTCAATTGGTAAGAAAACCGAATAGAATCAATTAAGGAGTATTTGCTAGTTTTGTGAATTGAAAAATAATCGAGATTTAAAACTTTGACACATCTTCTACCTGTTCATTTTAAAAAGTAAAAACAAAATGGGTTTAGGGGCCCTTTATTCTCTTTAAGCCGATGGGGGAAAAATCAAAAGACCACCTGACCCCCCTCAGACTTTCCCAAAACAAGCGGCTTTATGATCTAGATGCATTTGGGTACTTTCTGTCATTTTCAGTGCATCAAAAAACAACGTTCTGCTTTCTAACTATACGGATTTTTGGTTCAGTTACAGAACTTTAACGTCGATATCTATAGGTGATTTTATTTGACGCAGTTTATTGCATATTGTTCTTTAAACTTTTTGTGACATGGTATTGCATTGTAAATATCAAACAGAAAACAATGACATAACATTCAATAGCTTGCTCAAAAAAATGCCTCGGCGTCCATAAATAGAATCAGGGATCACAAATGAGGGCCAAAATGAAAATGGGGGTGGAGGGCACCTTTTACATGCAGGCGTACACACTTTGTCAGTTAGCTTCATACCTAATGTATGCAAAATTATATCTAAAACCTTTGCATTTTGCTATATGACCTGATAACAAATTATTCATAGTGACACATTTCATTCACACACTCAATTGCCATTTGCTGAATCTGAGCAGATGAGTGTAAGAGAATCCAGTGCATGAAATGGAGGATGTTTTATTTTTTTTGTTTGAACAGAACACTTGAAAAGAAAAATAATTATGTAATTATTTGTTGCTATTTTGAAATTTCCCCTTTGTCCCCACCAAACCAACCTTTTTTGTGTTTTATTAGTCCTATAAATATGACGGCGCTTTGACATATTTTTTTGCTTCTGGGCCAAGCAACAGGCTTGACTGACATAAAACTATATCAAGCCTGTAACATCTAATTTATTGGACTACAGTCAAATATAACCATGTCTTTTCCTACCCACTTAAGACCTATAATACGGATGTCATGGTTCAGAACTATTAACTTATTAGGGGAGATAGTGTGTAAGCGGCCGGATAGCTCAAGCGGTAAGGTATTCCAAGGATCTCGGGTTCAAGTCCCGGTCAGGCTGCACATTTTTCTCACCCTGTGACATTTGGCGCCCAACATGGGACCGTGACTGCATATAGCTCAGAATTTAATTCACATTGCTCTGTAACCCTAAGAAATCTGAGGACAAATTTCCCAAAATAAAATAGCAGGGGAGGTATGCACGGTTTGAACTTTTCACTAATTAGGGGAGTAATGTGAAATGGCCGGATAGCTCAGCCATTAGAGCCGTGGTACAGTTTCCGAAATTCTGGTTTGAGTCCTGG